CCTCCTGGTAAGTGCTCGTGAGCTGTTCCATCATCTCCTTGGCATGGCATCAGTCTGCTGCCGCCACTGCGCCAAGGATGGTGTGCGGTTCAGGAGCGTGTAGCTGCTTCTCCCGCTGCATGTAGCCCTGCACGACAAGCAGTGCGAGGTGAAGTGAAACAATTACCACGGCAATATGTAGAATGTAGATCCCGAGCGAGACCACCGGACCCGAAACTGCCAAACAAGGTACTATTAGCAAGGCTTGCTGATGTGGACGGAAGGACACGTTCCCTGCTACAAGATGTGCCGGCCAGCTCCCTGATCCCTAGATCCATTTGACCTCCTTGCTGTCCCCAGGCACAAGCTTGGGATGGTTGGGAGCAACACCTGGAAACTGAAAAACCCTAAACATCGCAGCAAGTCAGCAGCTTGACTCCTTGGCATATGTTGGACCCTCAAAATTGACAACGACCTTGCAGATGAACTTCGTACGCCTGCATGAGCTCGGCCACTCGCTGAAGCTCACTTCGCAAAGCAATCACCTTGCGGCCGCTTGGGAGCAGGCTAACAAGCTGAGCGTATTTCTTTTGGAAGCATGATTCTTCCGAAGATCGAAGCAAGCCAGCAAGCCTCCTGATACATGGCAGTGACCTCCCGGGTATGCTCCTTGCCGGCATGACTTCCAGAGCAGCAAGGGAAAACGCGCGGCTCCTGTGTCAACTGCGCTACGAGCCTCAGGCTGCTGCGGCTCTCGCAGGCTCGTAGCTTCGACGGCTCTGGGAGCCGGACTCATTCGCGAGGCTTGATGCAACCTCGCGGAAGGTGCTGCCGGCCTTGGCAGAGAAGAGAGAAGGGAGTCCACCGTGAACTCTCTCTCAGGTCTCACGGCCCCTTACAGGAGATGAGCCATAATTCTGCTGGACAGAATTTTGGGAACCTCAGCTCCACGGAGATGCACGGCAACTGCAAATGCAACTGCAAAAGTGCAACCTGGCAGCGCATGGCGACCCCCGTGCCAGCGTTGCGGCAACACTTGAGCAGGTGGCCGGCAGGCCCAAACAGAAAAGTGTAAAGTGTTTGCGAGCTAGACCGCGTGGTAACAAGCTCTCTGTTGGCATGGTGCGGCACGCATGCTTTTAACCGAGTGGCTCCGTGACAGGAGCCAAGATGGGGTGAAACGCCTACTTGAGATGCGCTTGCTCCGGCAGCAGAGGCAAGTTCGCAAACCAAGGCTTAGGCTTAAACGACACCTTGTGTCGACTGAAGATCTGTCAACGAGGTCAAACTTCCTCCCTGCCAAATTTAGATACGCGCAAGTGCAGCGAGAGCTGGCGCAGGTCGACCTCGAGCACAAGTCAAGTCGCGCCGAGGCAAATCATGAAATCATTTCGGCTATCCCCCCATGCTCACTGCCGTGAATGCTGTCATAACCGACTTCACACCGTAGGAATGCATGCTTCAAAAGATGACACATGCCTCGTCCAGCGGCCCGTTGTGACCGCAATCGACGTGCATCACATACCCTGCCATCGACCTGACGGAGTGCACATCGGGTCCCTCCAAGACGTCAGTGTTGCGCACCTGTCGATGACAGGTCGCGGTTCGCCTTGGACCTGGCCAACAACCGCAGGCAGGGCGGCAGTAATAACTTGTGCCCCAAAAAAAAGGGGGCGCGAAAGCTCGCTGCTGGAGGGCGCATAGGCTGCGGAGCAGTCAGGACACGCTCCGTCTATTTTTTGATCTCACTAGAGGCACGCGATTGATATGCGGAACATTCCACTATCCTTGAAATCACCTAAACAACCCATGTCCACTTGACGTTCACGTAGAACCCTTTTCCACACCAGCCTTCATAGTTCTCACTTGAATATTTGCCACTACCACCCACAGCTGCCCATGAGCAAACACCTGCAGAACATCCCTCTCTCTAGACCAACGATCCCATCTCCAATTGCAGTTCACATGGAACCCTGCTCCGCTTCCACACAACAAACTGTGGCACCGGCGTTCCGAAGATGGGGGCAGCCGTCTATCACAGCCACTTCCCCCCCCCAAACCAGGACGAGCATCATGAGCATCATTGGGGTCCTGTTTCTCCGAAGAAAACCATCCATTAACTTCCCCGAAATGGCCACGAAGGTAACGCTCTCAAATCCAGCCAAGGCATGGGGATTCCCTCGAAAAACAAGGGGGTGGGCACCGGCCTGGGCCCTTCCCCCCCCCCCCCCCAGACCGCTGTAGATCTTCAAGCAGCAAAGCTGTGCATCAAACTCAAGCTTCCCAGACGGGAGCTTTCGTGACAACAACATAAAAGTGCTGGGATTGCCGGGTTCTCACTGACCTCTGCCAAGTCAACACTCCTCGGACGGACGATGAAACGGAGCAGCATGATTTCGGAAGCTGCATGCGCGATCTGTTTAGCTGCTTGCTGCAGGTGCCTGCAATAAGGAAGCTCCCAGCAAATAACGCATTGGGGACAAGGTTCTTAAAGAATGCCGCGAGAGTGGAAACGAAGCTGCCGATTTCATCCAAGTTCAGAATGATCGTCCGCACCAGTCGGTCCAGCTGCTCTTGCTGAGCAGCATCATTGCCTGAGGCACAATCTCGTGACAGCAAACTCAAGCAGTCTGTCGATGTCTTGTCTTCTGACGGACACTGTTCATCACAGTTCGGGCTGACATCTCTCGCCGCGTGTGAAGCAGAGCTCCAAACAATGAAGCTTCCCCGTTGCAGATGTTTAGCCCCATTGCCGTTCCAATCATGCCATGTACATCAGGAACCTTGCAGTCAAAGCACCCTGGACGCGCAAGTTGCCGAGTGCACCCTGCAAAACGCTCTGCCGCCGTCGGAATTCGCGCCAGACTACCTCAGAATCAAGCGGAGGTTCGAGAGAAAATCACTCGCCCCAAACTTAGATCTTAGCTCAGCCGTCGGCAGTCACTCGTGCACGAGCCAGATGTCTGTGGAACTGTGCAAGGCTGTCCTGTCGACAATTTGCAGCGCTCGACTGACCTACACTCGCGACCAACGTCTCGACCCACAGGAAATGCGGGGTGCAGGCCGGGTTGTCCAAAAGGTGCACTGCAACCGCAAGCTGAAGAAGGCTCTTCGGGACGGTTGCCCTGCCTGATCTTGCCTATCTGAAAAGCAGAGCACAGAAATGTCTAGCTCGTATGTACTGTCGTGAGGTGTCTCTGCGCTCCGGATGGAGGGTGCTCATCATCTCTGCCAGACGGGTCTGACCTGCACACTGCTCGAGTCGCCACTATCGTGTCAGGTCACGTTCGCTGAGTGCTCGGCCTAGCTGACGAGCACTTACGTCGTCCTCTCTGATTCGAGGAGCCATAAATATGCTATAAACTGAGAGAAGTCAAGCAGGCCTTGGAGAGGAAACTGTCGATCTCGATTAAGCCAGAAGGAATCTCCTCGGCAGCAAAGGCTGGATCCGACCTAAAACTTCTCTGCATGCCACATTACCTCATAGCACTTAAACAACGGTGTGGGAACAAACGGGAACCGATTGAGCAGAACCGTCCTGGCCAAGCGATAAGAAGGCGAAATCACACCCTTCAGCGCGCGGATTTCCAGTTGCACCCCAGACCTCAGCGCGTTTTCGGCGCCCGCATGTTGGCAAGCAGCGATCATTGCAAGGCCCAGACCTGCATGTTGGCAAGCAGGCACCGAAGTGCATGGCCTCAACTGTCATGCCTGCCTAACAATACCTTGCAAAACAAAGCACATCGTCATGGGCCAAATAAAGGTAAGATCGTGGCACAGGTTGCCGCGAGTCTCGAGCACCTCACCCAGGGTTTGGCCTCCGCCCTCGATGCCCTCGCACACTACCTCCAGCAAGTGGTGAAGCCTCAAGAGCTCCAGAGCAGTGAGCATCCATGAATCATCTGCGTCGGCTTCTGGCTGCTCTAGCTAGAATAGAACAGAGACGATTCGCATCTTGCAGCAGGTGCACTGATCTTCGAAGGGTGCCAGTGCCGAGCGCACCAATTCCACGTTGTCCTCGATGAAATTGTGCAGTGAATGCTCCGAAGTGGCGAAAACGTATTTTGCGAACGCTGATTGTGTTCATGACAAGCTCTGCTTCTTGCACTACTTGCAATTTGGAGTTGCCCCTTCTTCGCAAGAGGTATTGTGGCCTTACAGCTTTTGTTATCCGGCAGGCTGCTGAAATCTGAACTTGCTGGAATGCCGGCATGAAGACTCCAACGAATGCTAGGATCTATGACTTGAGACCAGTCCAAAGCTCTAAACTGCGCGATTCACTGAAGGCAAGATACGGATGTAGCACTGGGCGGGGTGGGCAGAGGGAGAAGAAACACACAAGCAACAGAGGCAAGAACAGAGGGAACCATTGTACCTAGCAGCAGCGTCCGCAAACTCCAAATCATTCCGTGCGGCCCAGCTGACATGTCCGAAACCCCAGGTTCATTCACAGCATGTGATGGGGGGGTCCAGAATCGCCTGAATTGTGGTTTCTGCCCTGGCACGACTGCTCCAAGAAAATCCTCCAAAGTCTACAAGACATTCGTACCAAGCGCGACACTGATTTGTGGCAGCCAACCACATCTGGCAAAGTGTACCACAAGTACGATGATGGAGAGGCATTGCAAGTTGCAAAATCGAACTCGACGACTGGATGCTTCATGTTAATCAGCAAACATCGCAAACCGATAACCACGAACCCCAGGATTTCTTCACTCGTGTTCTTCTTCCGGGCATTTCACAGTTGGTTCTCCTGCTTCCTCCGGCAAGGCTCTGGGCATCAAGCTTTCGCTCTCTGCCTCTGCCAGGCCTTTCTGGGGACATTCTTCATCGGCAGACCCCCAAAAAGACTAGACTAAACATGCTCAACCAGCAAGCGCTCGACTACAAGCCAAAAATTGCCGAAACAACAAAGGCCAACGGCAAGCAACAGAGGGAACAAAAACGTAGTGATTTCGGCAGCAGCCCAACAAAAAAAAAGGCAGCAGCAGGGCAGAAGAGAGATAACAGACATTAACTAGCTAACATCCCTGCTCCTCGAGCCATGTGGTACCAGCACGCTCAAAAGCCGGGCCTTCCCGAGCGGTGCAACTGTGCAAACAGGAACAGTATGTCAGAACCATTCGGAAACCACGCTAAGGAGTAGACCGCCCGCAACTGCATTGCCACAGGCTCCGCCACCTCGGTCACGATTTCAAGGTGGCTTCGAGGGGGGTAGCAAGGACGTCAGCTGCGCACTCCGTCGGTTTCAGGCTTCGGTGGGTGACACTGGCCCCGTCGGCAATAGAGTCGCAGCGAATGAGCCCGCCGCGGATGGCAGACTGCGCGTCGGCATTCTCAGCCTGGGAGCCCGCCCACTGGCGAACACCGAACTTAGCGTGTTCTCACTGGCCCTTCTCATAAGTCTGCAGCCTTCACACGCACCTGGGAGCATCTCTCGACATTTGGATTGAAGCTCTTGGTGGTGAACCGTCGCCCGCACCGAATCTTGGACAACAACTTGGCGCGCCGGCCTGCACAGCAAGACACACTGGCAAAGTTGGGCGAGCCTGTTAGGCGGCTGTTTGCACATGCGAGCAGCCGCTCACAGATTTCCCACACACTACTTGAAAGACACTCGCTTAGCTTCGTGCCGCCCAGAGAACCTGTCGGAAAGATCCTCAAGAAAAGCTAACCGGCCATGCACTGAAGAAGGAGATCGAAACATCGGTGAGGCCTCTTCGCCCTCACACAGGGCAAAGAGGTCGTCAAAGAAGCACCATGCCTAGCAGTGGCTTCAGGTACCTTCGAAGTGCTGCAGGACAGCTCCTTGCACCTCTGCAAAGCTGTTCAGCGTCGCATCATCGAGGTTCAGACGCTCCTCTTGAGAGCACGGAGACAACAGCCCGAGGAGCTTCCTTTGCGTGCTCCTGATGCGAGACACGCTCCAGGACTTGTAAAGCCACCTCGATGCACACTGCCCTCCAGAACAAGGAACATTGCTTTCTTGGAAGGAATCGTTCGCTACTTCAACTTTCGCCATTTGCGAATTGGGCGCTGCGGAGACAACAAATTCGATCAAACCGGCACTGTTGGGAACCGCGCAGCGGTTCGAAGTGAAGCAAGCTCCAAAATCATTGTGTCCTGCGGAACAGCATGCACTGTCCTGCGCCGTGAAGCAACCCTGTGTCGGCTTCACGTGAATCAAAATCTGTCCCGAGGGTCGCATATCAGTAGCTTGTGGCACCGTACCTGGCTAAGCTGGCACTCAAAGCACAGGCGGTTTGAACAACAGCATCCTACCGAGCTGGCTGCCTCTACAAAGTTCTCCGTATTATCGGCCACCATTGACCTGGCTGTTGCAGCACAGGGCGATTACGGCTTGAGGCGGATCACTGTATCGACGCGTATCGATGCTTCCCCTACAGTGTAAAGGACAATGACTTTCTTGGCTCTTGCCTTTCTGGGCCACACACGCGCAATGAGTCTCCTCGAATGCGTGGTGGGCATGTCGAGGGCGCCAACAGAGTCAAGAGTTCCTCTAAACTCTTTGAGCGGAGACCTTGACTCTCACTGACATTAAATTTAAAGATTTTGTACGGAGCGATGATCCGAAGAAGATTTCGTCTTCGGCTTGGGACGTTAACAATCCGCTCATGCATGCAAGAATGCCTAGCGCCTAGGGCCTTTCGAGAGCCGCCAGCTCGGAAGCTAGTAGGTCATGGATGGGACACGCTGATTTGAATACCTGAAGTTCCTGAAGTTTGAGTTGCCAGGCTTGAGCTCCCTGGACTGGGCAGTCTCAGGTGTCAGAAGGGAAAATCTGGGTGCCGCGATCAGGCACCTGGCAGAGGTGGCAGAGGGCAGTCGACTGAGACTTCCCTTTTTGCCGCACAGCAGGCTGGAGCAGAGCAGAGCAGAAGGGGGGAGCCTCTGACTCTGACTGCGCTTTGGGAGGCCCAGGCTCGGCAGGCTCGCCAGTCTCCTGTCTTGCTGGCGCCAGAAACGTCTTTTAACTTGTCGCCGCAGGAGACTTCTGACTCGCCGAGCCTTTGGATGGGATTCCGCCCGTAGCTTCACCTGACCAGAAAGCGTGGCCAAGCTCTTGAAAGCATGGAACACGTCGACTGTCTCTAAACCTGTCGGAAAGCTGAAGCCAGGCCAAGACCAGAAGAACCCGTCAAGCCCTAGAGCCTGACAAGAGAGTATGCCGACCCTGGGGAAAAGTGACGGACAACAAAACCGCAAGACTGCAAGGACCCGTCAAGAAATGTCGGCCCATCACGAAGTATTGCACGGTCCCGTTACTGCAGATATTCATGGATTTTAAAGGCTTCGCAGCATCTTTCGCCTACAGTACTGAGCACCCGGATGCACCCGGTGTGTCTCTGACTCGATCCTGTTCTGCGCAAGCCTTCTGGCGCTGCCACGGCCAGCCTTCCACGTCGGGTTGGGACCCGCGGCGGACGTCCTGCCAGAGACAGAAAATGCGTGGCATTGCGGGGCCACCTCGGGCCCGGCCTCCGGGCCAGGGCCGCACAAGGCGGTCGGGGTCACCAGCGCACGTCCTCTGGAACGGCACAGCACATAGCTGCACAAGGCTGAACCGACCTGACCTCGCCATGCATCGAGCACGAGGCGCGTCGTGCTTGGGGGCCTCTGCGGCCAAGGCAGGCGCAACCTGGGCACCGCAGCTTGTTCACAGGACGAAGGGAATGGAAGTCCAAGCTGTTGTCAGGTTTGACGACATGCTAAGCTGTTAAAGCCACGTGGCACAGACAGGTCCGGCTGCGGTGCCGAAACGGAGCGCGAGCCGGAGCCTGTCCCGACATGCATGAAATGCCTGGCTCTGGCTCGGTTCGTTGAATCGGCCTTGGAGCTCGGCACTGCGAGCCACGGCGCCGCGACTGCCAGTTTTCGGCAGCACGCGGCCTGTGAAAAGTGCACTCCACCCCCGAGAAACAGCTCCGCAAAACACGGCAAAACCAGGTCAAGCTATTGTCTGATACTGTGCTTCGCACCAGCAAGTTGTTGGTCAGATCCGCTCCAAGACAATGCCGACTTGATAACGGCACTGTATGTGATCCTGCCACATCAGGAACCAGCCACAAACGGTACTAGTCACAAACTAGACTGCAATACAACGTACAGCTGTCTGCAACACGGCTCTGGTCATCGATGGATGCAAAAGCGCAAACTTTCGGAACGACTGCTGTGCGCAGCACAGTCTAGCGGGACAAAACAATGATGGTAGGGGGTGCTCGTGGTGCAGGTCCGAACCGACTGAAGTCAGTGCCGAGCTCGCAACATAAAAATTACTGCTGGAGCAGCGGCGACCAGCGTCTCGCCCAGCGTCAGTTTATCCCTTCGTCTTGAAAGTTCTTTGTTCAATCACCCCGGAGTGCAGATGTCACTACACGGGCAGAGATTTCTGAGTCAACTGCAATGCGGTCTCGAGCTGTCTGCTTGGAGCATCTTGGAGCACCCTGCAGCCCTCTCCCCTTCCCTGCTTTCCCTTCTTGCCCTCGGTCCCATCAGGCTGAAGATGCTGGTCCAGGAGAACTCGGAAAAGGGCCAAGGTTGCCTTCCATCGGTGCAGATGTCACGACACCCGCCCGGCCGGCCCAGGCCTGCCACTGCTCCGCACGCCGGCAGGTCGTCATCACGAAGTTCCAATCGTCGATGTCCTCCGAACCGTGCAGGTACTCATGTTCCCTCCCCAGACTTCTCAAGGACTCTTGACCCGGCAAACTCGGATTGAAAGCTGCAATAACGTTGTCATTTTGGCAGGGCTTCTGATGTTTTAAGTCGCTGTGTGTCGAGAATGCCTGTTTGTCGCAGCGCAGCAGGAGGGATACGGCACCCTGCCAGCAGAAACCCAAGCAGCAGGTGCGCATGGCTTGCGCCAGACAGGGCGCAAGCACATCCTGGCCGAAGGACGTGTGCGGTTCTAAGTTGAAGTATGATGGACATCCATGAACCATTGCCTGGGCCTCGCCGCTCTGCAGGAACTGCGCGAACAAGCCGAGGCCGATCTGCCACTCGCCGGCCCTGACAGCTTTACGGGCTTACAGGCACTTCACATTTCCATGCGGGGGAACCGTCCCGTTCAAAGCCTCGCGCAGGCGTCGCCGACGGCTGAAGTGCCTGGGCTTCTGTTGGCAGCCGGGAGCAGTCACTTCTGGCCGGAGATGGGCCATATTTTCCTCAACATCTGAAACATGCGTTTGCGACACAAAGCTGCTCACAAAGTCTGGTCCAAGTCTTCGCCTCAAGGCAAGGACGAGAGTGCGGCTTTAACGCTCCAGGCCCAAGGTAGCTCCCGTCTCTGCCTCGGCATCTCCTCGAGGAGCGCCAGGCTTTCCCGCCATGCGGCTTGAAGTTGACAGGAACCTAAGGGCCATGAGTCATGCACCAAAGATGCATGCAGAGATCAAGAAACGTTGCAGGGGTCACAACCCGGCAGAAGTGCAATAAGAAGACTCATCACTGCGCGGAAGCAGTCCAAATCCGGCTCGAAGGGCTGCTGCCTCTCAGAGTCAGTGAAGTCCTTTCAAACTTCCCGCTCTCCACTTGAGAGCCGAGGGGCCGGAACAGCTGCAGTGCCAGCTCCCACTCTCCGCCAGTGCGGCATGCCGTCAGCATAAAGCTCAAAGAGCTTGCCGTAGCCTGCAATGAGGACTGCGGAGCGGCGGAGTGCTCAGTAGTTACCCGGCTTCAGAGAGTTTGGGCACGCAAAATGCACAACTCACAAACGAGGTGGATGTAAGCCCCACACAAGTGTCGGTGATCGTCGACTGGTCTCGTTCACACTGCTCGTCGATTCATCACATCAAAAAACTACCGGCGGCGCGGTAGCTTCGAGGCGGCACGCCTTTTCGCCTCTCTGCAAAAAAGGGATCCCTTCAGTTGAGCCGCAAGCATTCAGCAGCCGTCGTTCACATCTAAAGCTACACTGCAAAGGCACTGCTTCAGCGGTGTTTTCACACCCGTCCTCGGCTACACTGAAGGGTTCGAAGACTATACAGCTGTGCATCTGGATTTTCACCGGCCTCCTTCTGTTTGGCCTTTCGCGCTTGCCGCCCTGCTCTGATGGCAACCTTTTTCAACTTGGCCTCTGTAGATGGCTCCAAGCGCCACTTCCCTGTTGCCATGGCCTCCAGCAAGGGCTCGCGTTCACAGCCAATTTTCGTCAGCACGTCCGCCAGCATCTGAGAGGTGTCCACCCACAAGGCGTAGGCGCTGCTGTTTTCGTCGTCGTAGTCGTTCTCACCCAGCAGCTCTTTCACTTGAGCCACGAGGACTCTCACACGTTTGTCCTGTGGCTGTCCAGTGTCCTTGTTGAGTGTGGATTCCAAACTCTTGGCGTCCGTAAAGGCCATAATCTTTTTCTTCACGTAGTGCCGGTCGAAGTCCAGCAGCTTCACACCAGGGTGAAGCATCTCCAGCAGGATCTCCCGGACATACTCAGCGCTCTCCACCCCGGTGAGAAAGCCATTGGCCTCAGCAGCCAGGGTGCTGCGGCAAACTCGTTTGATGCTGCCGCTGTAGGTCTCGAGGAGGAGGATCGGTACCTCCTGGCCGCTCTGTATCTCGGGAGTGGTGAGGCAGACAACGAAGCCGCACTGGGATTTCATCCCGTCCAAGTTTGCCCACGAGCTGTCTGCGAAGCAAGCCACCGTACAGTCCTCCAGCTTCAGCTCTGAGCTCCGGAAGCACCACTTGGCCTCACTGGTTTCCTTGAGCATCTTCACGGCCTTGTTGAGGTCCACGATGTCCTTGATCAGGGGCTTCCCCATCGTTTGGGAGGCCAGGCTGACGTTCACCATGAGGTCGGGCCGGGATTGTCGCACGATCCAGCCCATCTGGCCGATCAGGCCTCTGAACTGGGACTTCTCGTCCTCAGTGAGCTCGGCCTTGTGGAGCTTCCTGCGGTGCTTGTCCAGCAGCAAGTAGTCGACCCCCTCAATGGCATCGTACTGGTCCACCTCGATGTCCCAACCTTTCTGCTGTACGTTCTTCCCGCAGAACCGGAACTCGCCGTGACCTTGAGGTGGAGCTCCTTCTCGAGCTGTTCCAGTACAAGGTTCCTTCTCCGGCGGAGAAGAGGTCGTCGACGTGGGAAAGCAGTATCCCCACGAACCTCCCGCAGTCGTAGAGGAAGAATAAAGCAGTCTCGATCCTCGACATCCGCCATCCCTTCTCCTTAAGGGCACGGAAGAGCTTCTTCCACCAAGACCTTCCAGCGTCCTTGGTACCATAGATGGAGCCCTTGGCGCGGAAGAGGTCGTTGGGTAGCACGCCAGGAGGGGGAGGTCAAGGAGCTCGGAGCACAAGCAAGCGGCTTATCCC